GAACTCACAGAGATCCGCCTGGCTCTGCCTCCCGAGTGCTGGGATTAAAGGCGTGCGCCACCACCGCCCGGCCTTACTTTCCTTTCTTGAGACAGGGTTTCTCTGTAGCCCTGGCTATCCTGAAACTTACTTTGTAGACCAGGCTGGCCTTGAACTCACAGAAATCCATCTGCTTCTGCTTCTTGAGTGCTTGGATTAAGGGTGTGCACCACCACTGTCCAGCCATGGTTATTTCTTAAAGAAAACCACTCACAGAAAACAGCTGTACTATAAATTTATTTGGTGGGATCTGAAATCTTTAAGAAGGGGTAGATAGGTTCAGGGAGGATTCTATAATATATTTCCTAATTTATCTCACAATTTTAAGTGAACAAGACATCAAGAGAAGGTGGATAAGCAATCAGTCCCTGCACTCAGCACCTTGATAATTCTAGGTTAACAGCTACTTTTCTCCTTCTCTGCTGAGCACGAAGTGCTTTATTACCATGTTGCAGAACAGTTGCATTATTTTATCACTTTCTTTTCCAGAGGGGAATGTGCCCTGTATTAACAGCTAAAAGGAAAGGCCACTATTTTGGTCCAAGGAAGTGGCATCGAGTATTCTGTAGCAATGCGGCTTCCTTTTATGTTTCAGTGATGGCACCTGGTCATGCTTACACAACCTCAGGAGGACAAGGGAAAGATCCACATACAGTTAGACTTCTGTCCTTTTGTGGGTTAAGCTCGTGTCCCCCAAAGAGGTTCTATTACATAAAAGGGAACCGGGCCCAATCATCAGTTATGATGACTTCCCTGGCCTTTCATTTCCCCTCTGTTGTTGCTGACAGTGCCTGTCCCACTATTTCCCCTTCTTCCTAAACCATCTACCCAGACCATGTGCCATCTTTCCATTTTTTTCAAAGAACTTAATCCTTAACCCCAGATTGTCAAGCTGTGAGTGGTGATACAGTGCACACACCAACAGGAAATAGAAGAAAATGAAAGAAAGTTTTGCCAGAGTGAAGTTCCCAGGTCACTGTCTCTGGCAGGCTTACACATGCATTTTTCTATTCCCCCAAGTCTAAAATGTAAAAATCTCCACAAAGAGAAGCTGGTCTATGACCGTGTTCAGGAGCAGTCCAGCTTGTTTTTAGACTATCATCAAGCAGCCATCACTCACAAAGAGGGAAAGAATACTCATTCATTTGGTCAAAAGCTGGAGAAACTGTTAGCCTTCAGAGTACGTGATTCAACACTGCCATGAAGATACTTCAAGGCTTCTCAGGCCTGCCAGGCTGTTTGAGAATGCAAGATGATGCTTTGCATCACTGGAGTTCAATGGACCAAAGGACTGATACATATGTTTATAACAGACATTTCCAATTGTCCTTAGCGTGGGAATCTTATTTGGTGTCAGAATGCCTTGCATGGAATGCCTCTGCTGTGTCTAATGGTATCTGGGCAAGAGAATCTCTCTGTTAAGATTCTTCACCTGTAAAATGGGATGGTGGTATATTAACATCCTTCTAAGATTTAAATGAAGCTCAGCATGATGATTTATGTCTGTAATTCCAGCATTAGGAAGTTGAAGCAGGAGGATTGCCATGAGTTCAAGGCCAGCCTGAGCTACACAATGAGTTCCAGGCTAGCCTTAACTACAGAGTGAGGCTTTCCCTTAATCAAACATCTACAAAATCCCAATCCCCAAACAGAAAGAACCCTAGCTATACCTTTGGTTTATACTTAGGGAAAGAGCATTAGGTATACTTTGCTATATACTTAGGGAAAGAGCGTTAGGTATGCCTTTGGTATACACTTAGGGAAAGAGCATTAGGTATACCTTTGGTGTATATTTAGAGAAAGAGCATTCAGTATACCTTTGATGTATACTTAGGGAAAGAACGTTAGGTATACCTTTGGTGTATACTTAGGGAAAGAGCATTAGGTATACTTTTGGTGTATACTTAGGGAAAGAGCATTAGGTATACCTTTGGTGTATACTTAGGGAAAGAGCTTTAGGTATACCTTAGGTGTATACTTAGGGAAAGAGCATTAGGTATACCTTTGGTGTATACTTAGATGCTAAACCATGGGAGAGCAAGGTTGGAAAGAGGAGCACAGGACGGCAGACATGAGAAGAGTCCAACCTCGCGATGACAGGATGGACCAGGGTGACAGTAGGACCACGCTAGAAGATGGTCAGACTCCAGGCATGTGAGCTGTAGGCGGGACGGAGTAGTGCTGGAGCCGAGCTATGCCTCGTGCATTGCAAGCACACACCTCCCACTGAGCAGGGCCTCCAGGTCTCCGGTACACTTCCGAGTGGAACACTGTCCATGGCGAGAGAAACTCTTTCCCAGAGTGGTCATGCTATTCAGATTTTCTAGGATGGAGAACAGCGTGGGAGGAGAACACTGGGGAAAGTCAGGAGTGGGCTTTTAGACATGTTATGCTACAAAGGCTTCCAAGAAACCCTACTTAGAGACACACACCTATGTAACGTCAGCACTTGGGAGATGAAGGAAGCAGGTTTACAGTCCAAAGTCATCCTTGGCTACATAGTGAGTTTGAAACCAGCCGGGGATACACAAGACCCAAGAAAGGGGGGTTGGAATGCTAGACACATGGCATGCACCTTTAATCCCAGCACTCATGAGGCAGAGGCAGGTGGATCTCTGTGAGTGCCAGGCCAGCCAGGGCTATACAGTGAAACCCTGTGTGGTGGTTTGAATGAGATTGCCCCCACAGGCCCACAGACTTGAATGCTTAGTCCCTCCTTGATGACGTGTTGGAAGGAATAGGTGTGTCCTTGTTGGAGGAGGTGTGCCACTTGGTGAGGGCCCAAAGCCCAGGGTGGGTGCCGTCTCTTTCTGTCTCTCCCTCCTCCACTTCCCTCCCCACCTCTCTCATCCCTCTCCCTGTCACGTTCAGATCAGATGGTCAGATGTGAGCTCTCAGCTACTGTTCCAGTGTCATGGCTGGCTGCCTGCCTGCCTGCCTGTCGCCATGCTCCCTGACAGGATGGTCGTGGACTAACCCTCTGAAACTGTGAGCCAACTCCCAAACAAATGCTTTATTTTCTAAGTTGCCTTGGTCATGGTGTCTCTTCACAGCAGTAGAAGAGTAACTAAAAAACCCTGCCTTAGAAGACCGGACGGAAGGAAAAAGAGAAAGGAGAGGGAGGGAAAGAAAAGAGAAACCCATAGGACCTTCAGATAGTCTGGGATGCAGAAGAAAATCTGGTATCGGAAATACAAATGCATAAATCGCACAATGCTGCAAGAGTGACTAGCTCATCTAGAAAGGAAGTGCAGGGATAAGAGGTCTCCAAGGACTGAGCTCTGAGGCCCCCAACATTTGGGAGTCTGCAAGGAGAATTGCCAGGGAGAAGCAAAAGGAGATTTCAGGGAGATAAGAGAAAAACGAGGCAGGCATGTCACCGGACACCGCGGAAGGAGCCGGGGACCATGTGAAAGGATGTGGACATGAGCTTGACAGCTGGGAATAAATGTCAGCCCCCAACCCCTTTGTCTCCTGGCCGGTGTAGGGGACTCTGGACCCCTCTCCTCACTCGGCCTCCAAGGAGACAGTAACTGCTCTGCTTGGCAAATGTGAGCGAACTAGCCTGGCAGGTTTGCCTGGCCCTCTTCCCCTTGGGAGCCAGAGGCTTTCTTCCCTGTGTTCCCAGGGGCAGCGCAGTTCAAGCTGAGACACCTAAGCTTTCCTGGTTTGTATAGGGCCCCACAAGAAAACAGTGCCACATCCCTTGGTGACCTCAGCAGAAGGTGTTTCCCAGTGGGGTGGGGGTGGGATTTAATGGTGAAGGAGACAGCAGTATAAACAATCCTTTTGTCCAGGTTTTCTGTAATAGAGTCAGAGAAATGAGATTTGGGGTCTAGAAAGAGTGAGACAGCTGATGTGACAGCAGGATTGGGGTATGCCACGATGGGGCAGGATGACGCTATGGTGCAGGCAGATAATGACACAGGAATGGGAGGGATTATTCTGGGCCAAAGGAATCCCTAAGCAGCAGAGAGAGGATGGGACCAGGAACACAATGGGGGGGGGGGAAGAGCATGGGTATCCATGGTAACAGGAGTAAATCACAGGCGGGGTACCAACCAAGGTAAGTTGGTATCAGAAGGGTATGGGATTTCTGTATGACTGACCCTATTTTCTGGGAATAAGAAGCAAAGTCCTAACGTGAGATGAGTGTGGAGTCTAAAGGTTTGAGAAGAGGTGAAGACACAGGGAAACAGGGTGGAGGGGGGGAACGACGACATACAGCAGGACTTCTAGACCTGCATTTGGGCCTGTTTGGCGCTGTGTCACAGTCTCAAAGTGAAACCGGCGAGCATGGTTGTGAATGTGTCCCCAGTCATCTTCAGTCGGAGGACTCCTCCTACAAACACATACACATGATGACGATGGGAATGATAAATAAAAATGTAAGGGGAAAGACATACTA